TCACTGGTTCTTGTTCATCATGTGCTGGTTCTGCTTCAGAAGAATCTCCTTGTTCAAACTCTTTTTCCTCATGTATCTGTGTAGTCTCTGACTTTTCAGCACTATCATCGTCTTCTTTTCTTTGTAGTTTATCTTCTACAAAGATAACATTCCTGCTGATGATCACTTTACGGGCAGTGGGATCCCACAAGCAATACCCCTTTACTCCATCAGCATACCCTAAGAATTTGCATTTCCTGGATTTTGGATCCAGCTTTGAGATTTATTGGGAGTTGTACATCACGTACACAATACTTCCAAATATATGGAGGTTTGAATAATCAGCTGGTTTACCAGTCCACATCTCCATTGGTGTCATCAGTTCTATTGCAGTTGATGGAGCTCGATTCACCAAATAATAGGCGGTATTGACTGCTTCTGTCCAGAATGATTTTTCTAGGCCTGCATCCCTCAACATTGCTCTTGTTCTTTCTAACAAGGTTTTGTTCATCCGCTCTGCCACTCCATTTTGTTGAGGAGTGTTCGCCATTGTGAACCGTCTTTTGATGCCTTCTTTCTTGCAAAAGTCATCAAATTCTTCGCTTGTGTATTCTCCTCCATTATCTGTTCTGAAACACTTGATCTTATTTCCAGAATCAAGTTCCACCCGCGCTTTGAAGTTTTTGAAAGTTGAAAACACATCTGACTTCTTCTTAATAGGGTGCACCCAACATCTCCTGGAGTAGTCATCAATAAATGAGACAAAGTATTTTGCTCCACCTAGGGACGTTACTGGTGCTTGCCATACGTCAGAGTGAACCAATTCTAGAACACTTTTGCCTCTAGAATTTGAGGTGTTGAATTTCAACCGGTGCTGCTTACTTGTTATGAAATGCTCACACAAAGTAAGTGATACCTTTGTTAAGCTTGGAAGTAGCTTTTGCTCCACAATGACTTTCATTCCCTGTTCTGACATGTGTCCAAGTTTCTTATGCCATAGCATTGCAGAATCTGAACTACATGAGGCAACAAAGGCTTCTGCTGCTAGCAATGTCTCTCCCTTCAGTATGTACAAGTTTGCAGCTATCTTTTCATCTTTCAGCACCACAAGCGCTCCACGGAATACCTTCATGATTCCTTTTCGTGTTTCAATCTTGCTAGCATTATTATCCAACAATCCGTAGGATAATAAATTTTTCTTCAGACCTTTCACGTGTCGCACATCTCGAACAACTTTAATTGTTCCATCATACATCTTCAATTTGATGGTTCCCACGCCAACGATCTCTAAGGCATGATCATTGCAACTATACACAGATCCTCCTGAGACAGGTTCATAATGATTGAACCATTCTCTTCTTGAGGTCATGTGATATGTTGCTCCCAAATCAATGAGCCATATATCTGAAAATCGTTTTCTTCCTTCCACGGTGGTTGACGCTTCACAACATAGAGCATCTCCATCATCTGAAGTGTTTGCGGTATTGCCTTGTGGATTGGAGTTTTTATTTAGACTCCAACAATCCTTCTTCAAGTGACCCTTCTTTCCACAGTTGTAACACTTTAAATTCTTCTTGCTTCTCAACTTTGATCTACCATGTTTGTGACTGATGCTTTGGCCACGTTCTGTTGATCTCCCTCTCATCGTTGTCATCGTTGTCAACGCTTCTGCTTGTTGCAGATTTACTTGTCTGTCTTCCTTGTTCTTGCGCCGATTTTCTTCTTGTAGAATAGCAGCTGCAACGTTATCGAAGACTAGACTGGTGACATTACTATTTGTCAAGTTGATGATGAGTTGATCATATGAATCCGATAGACTTTGAAGTAGAAGTTCAGCACGTTCTTGTTCTCCTATTTTACAGCTTAAGGATGTAAGCTGAGAAAATAAAGTGTTCAGTGTATTTAAGTGCTCCGTCACTGAAGTAGATTCTGGCATACGGAGAGTGTACAATTTTCTCTTAAGGAAAATTTTATTGTGCAACGATGTGGCCTCGTACAGTTTGGTGAGATGATCCCATAACTCCTTAGCTGTCTTCTTCTCCTCGATACTTGACAATACTTCATCTGCTAATGCTAGATGAAAGTTTTCTATAGCATTTCCGTCCATTTCGATCCATTTGTTGTCGTCTGTGAAATCTACTGGCCTTTCGCTGATAGTTGCTAGACAACCGTCTTTCCTCAGGATGGCCTTCATCTTCAATTTCCACAATGAGAAATTTCTCCCATTGAACTTTTCAATATCAAATTTCATTGCCATTGCTTCGTTTACGGATAGCTCTCACTATTTCACTATCGTGAATAATTCTCTGGAACCTTCAAAGAATGGGTAATAACTTCTTACTTTCTTATGTTGGAGGATCCACCTTTTGGTGGCAACCACAAAGACAATAAGCAGATATTACACACTCTAATCTAGCTCTGATACCAATTGTTGCGGAAGACGACTATCGGATAGATCAAAAATGCAACTGATAATTTGAGAAAATAAAAATGAAGATAAAGAAGATATAAAATTTAAATGAAAACCCCTAAATAAAATAGGGTAAAAACCACGGGCAACAGTAGAAGAATTTCACTACGAGAAAAATAGGAATTACAACCTCTCTCTTTCTACCAAGGAGAAAACAATGATAATTCTCTCTTGATAAAAAGGAGAAAACAACTCTCAAGAAACTCTCTAAATTCTCTCTAGTATTGGAAGAAAGTTAGAATGCTTTGGGATGATTTTGAAGCTAAATGAGCTAGGGTATTTATAGTTGAAGCTTTAAGGACTAATTTATAAATATCCTAAAGTAAAATAACTAAAATTGAGCTTTTACCATTGTCAAAAAATAAACAAAAAACAACCCATTTTTGGTGCATTTAATTATTTGCACTTTCGGTGAAATTGTGCAGTCAATTTGGACTTTGGAATTTCAACATTATGTAATTCGAAACTAAAATCATTAATTAGGTAGGTTTTTATAATTCCTTTCCTTTATTTTAAAATTAACATCAGCAATTAGCTAGGCCTAGGGGAACGAAACATCTTAACTGAAAATATATATTTATAATAATTAATTCAATAAATAATCACATGTGAAATAATAAAATATTTGGATTTTGTATTTGATTCTTAAATAACGATTTTAAATTATTTTAGTTAAATATTATATAAAAATAACATACAAATGGTTTTATAATGAAACTAATTATTATTTAAATTAAGTTGATACGAAATTGACATATTACGTCTTGATCAAAGAAAGATTGTGTAATAATATAAATCGGAGATACTGGTATATAGGTTAGTTACATGCGTCATCTCCTCTATTAGGCAGAAACTATTAAATAACAACAATGCCTCCGCCAGTTCAGCCTGCACCAGAAACAATTGTTGATTATTATTAACATCTTTAGTGTGAATCTGCCTTGAACAGTAGCTCAGCTGTGTTTTGAGGAGTTTCCAGTTTTCTTGCAAAAATTGAGGATGAATATTATTACAAATGTTACCTATTTAGGTGTCGAGGCTGTCTACGACGTTAATTTTCCCTTTAAGTGAAGTCTATCACAATATGGTGATTTTTGATTTTGATTTTTTAGAAAATATTAAAAATATTATGATATTTACCTAAAAAAACTAACTTTTCTTATATTATAAAACACCCTCAAAATTCTAAATCCTAACCTTAATCTGTCGTCGCCGCCCTTTCTCGCCACGACCACCACCACCGACATAGTCCCTACTATTCTCCTACTCATACGTTGTCGTAGTTTCCGTCAATTAGTTGTCAGAATCATGTGGAATCGAGATTTTCATCTTAGGGTTCGCGTGATATAAAACATTGATTCGTCATAGATCAACCATCGATCGAACCATTTCATGGGGGGTTTCGGTCGCTGGGGAGAGAGGAGGTCAGGTGGAGCTTCATCGACAGCAAAAGGTGGTGGTCGATGTAAGTTTAGGGGTTGAAATGAAAGTTTTCAAAGTTTTATGTTTTCTTATATATATATATATATATATAATTTTTAAATAAATTTTTTAAAATTATCAAGTTGTGACACGTGTTACTTAACGGAGAAATTAACACCGTTGACGGTCCGAACATCTAAATGGGTAATGTTTATAATATTAGGCACCGGATAAGTTAAAAAATAGTTTAGACACCTATTTGGAAAAATAGATAATTTGGACACATATTTTGATATTAAGCCAATATAATTTTATATAGGTTTAGAATGTTAATATTGGTCCAAATTCCCAACTAATGTGGCTTTGCCTTTGCTCAATAATTTCCCAGATAATCTGGCCGCGAACTTGAACGAAGGGCTGCTGCCAATTGTCTGAGAGGAAAAGAAGTTGAACCCAACTAATGATTTGTTTGGTGGTTCATTGACTGATGAGTCCGCAAACACCATCGTAAGCCATCACAGTGTCCCTACAGACAGTATATGATTCATGGGAAGTGCGAAACTCCATGTTTCTAACACGTCAACGTCATGACAGCTAAGTCCCTTCGGCACTATATTCGTGAATGGCTGACGCCTTTCTGGTCTTTGTTGGATGCTGAACCTCATCGAACCTCATCCTCTGTATCCAACACTATGACGCCTCTTTTTGACTTTTACAATTTTGCCGAGGCTCTTTTACTTTGTTTATTGATAATACCCACTACTATATTTTACATATATAATTATTCAAATTCAAATTAAGTTAAAGTTTTTCTTAAAAAAGAATTAAATCAAATGTAAATATTTTTAAATGGGATCGTACTCATTTTTTCCTCATTGGATATAAGATCTTCTTTCAACTTATCAAGCCCTCGTTGCTTCTTACGCTTTCAGCTTTCCTTTTTCATGGCTCAACTCTTTTGCCATTTTCCCCATATACACGTGGGCCATCCATGTTGTTCACCCCATGAAATTTGAGCCGTCCATTAAATGCAGATATCCTCTATATATACCCTGCGATCCAAGCCTGCAACACCCACTGCTTCAAACACTTTCTCCCTTCTGCTCCCTGCAAAAAATAAAAAAACACACACAATCACACACACACACTTCCCCCTTATTCTCTTCTTCTTCACCATTTTCATCTTGTGAGCTTGCAAACTTATCAATGGCTTGTCTAAATAGTATTTGCAAAGAGGTTGGTGATTTTATATTTCTATTATTATTTTTTGAAAAGAAAGTTCACGTTAATGTAGAACCAGACGAGCTTTTATTAACATTAACCCATTTCACGTGAGAGCTCCAGCTTCTTCTGATAATGTCATAGCATGAAATGGATAGTCTACTACTTGTACAGTAATGCTCTGAGAACACTGGTGAAGCTGTTAACTGTTAAATGTAATATTTTCACGAGATTTTGTGTTATTTTCCCCAACAGTGGTTTTATTTTTATAATAATATTCTTAAAATTTGAAATAGAGTTAATTAAGCTGAACCTGTGTATGATATGATCAGGTGAGTGATGAAAAAGGGAACACAAAGAAGGAAGAGGTTTACACCTTAGACGGAGCTGTGGACCGACATGGTAAACCTGCTATTGGAAGCAAAACTGGAAGTTGGGTTGCCGGAATCCTACTACTTGGTATATATATCTCCGTACTCAATTATATTTTTTTTCCTTTTGAAATTCCATAATTCTAATTAAATCACTTAAGGTATGTTTGCTTAACTTAAAATATTTTCGGGAAAATATTTTTCCTTATTTTTTAGTGTTTGGTTGACGGAAAACTGATTGGTCAACGTAAAATATTTTTTTGATCAATAAAATTTCCTTTGTGTTTTATGAAAAATGACTTACAGTCTGATTTTACACAAGTCATTTTCTAAACTTTTCAACTCAAAGAATAAATATCCAAAATAATTTTATTTTATAAATTTAATATCATTTTATCAAAATATTAATTATTAAAATATTTAAAATACATTTATTAATATTTATAATAATATAATATTATATTTTTAATAAATATTATATTACATTTTAATAATATATCATTAAATTATTAATAATGAATAATATTATTTATGTATTTAATCTTAATAAAATAATCTAATAATATTTTAATAAATATATTTAAAATATATTAATTAATACTTTTTAAATATAATATAATACTTTTATTTTAATAATTAATCAATATAATTTATAAAATTTGTATTTCAATAAAATATACTAATATTAAAATTTTATTAATAAAATTATAAAAATAATATTTTATTAATAATAAATAAATTTTATAATATTTTAAAAAATAATAATAATTTTATGAAAAATAATATTTTTATTATATTTAATATTTATAATAAATAATTTTAAAAAAGTTAACCAGTGGAAATCGATTTATATAACCTCTTCCAACCATCGTAAAACTTTTTTTTCTTTCAGAAAATGTAATATATTTTACGGAAAACATTTTCCAAAAATTATTTTAAGTGAAAGAAACGGAACCTTAATTACATTGTTTTCATTTATCAAACTAGATTCATTAGACATTAATTAGCGTTCACAAATTGTACATATTTTGTACTTACACGTAAAATAGTCGCATAGATGATAATAATAAGGTTAAAATGTACTACTGGTCCGTATACTTTGATATAGTTCGAGATTTGGTCATATACTTAAAAAGCTATAATAAATTCTTATATTTTTCGATTTACAAATTATGGTTCAACCGTTTACATTTTTAAGTTGAAAAACATTTAGAAGATACAAATGATATTAATAATTGAACTATGATTTTTAACTAAGAAATTCAAAACCGAGTTTTAAATTATAATAATTAAATATTAATTTTTTTATGAAATATGGGGACTTCTGTATATTTTCACCAAAGAATAATAATTAAGCGAAATTATTGTCCAATATTTTTTTTCTTAAAAAGGTAAATTATTGTATAAATTAATTAAGCTAAACTCGAACTCAGGTTTCTTATGTTAGAATGCAGAATGTTTTCGTTTTGTGTAGTGAACAAAGTAAAATTGAACAAGAAAGTTGCACTTGTTTCTTGTGTGGTGTTACCACTTTTTCTGAGCAAAAGTTAATTAATGTTGACCTTTTTCCCCCCTCCAATTTGCAACTTGGGTTACTTTGTGCAAGTTTATCCAAGATTCTTTTTTTAAAAAACATATATGATTCTTTCAATTAATTCAAACTATACGATGTTTAATCAGTTAATCAAGGGCTGGCAACACTGGCATTCTTTGGAGTCGGGGTCAACCTGGTGTTATTCTTAACCAGGGTGCTAGGCCAAGACAACGCAGATGCTGCAAACAACGTCAGCAAATGGACCGGAACCGTCTACATTTTCTCTTTGCTCGGAGCCTTCCTCAGTGACTCTTACTGGGGAAGGTACAAAACTTGTGCCATTTTCCAAGCCATCTTCGTTGTTGTAAGTTACAAACAAGATCATCTTCTTTCTCATGGAAACTTTGTTTTCAATCGATATCAATGCAAGTTTGTTGATTATGATACAGGGTTTGGTGTTGTTATCGGTTTCATCCTCTGCATTCCTACTGAAGCCCAGTGGGTGCGGTGATGAAGAAACTCCATGTGGATCTCACTCCACTTTCCACATAATTTTCTTCTACCTTGCTATATACCTCGTGGCTCTCGGGAATGGTGGTTACCAGCCTACCATCGCCACCTTTGGAGCCGATCAGTTCGACGAGGAAGACCCTAAAGAAGGTCACTCGAAGATCGCCTTCTTTAGTTTCTTCTATTTGGCTTTGAACCTCGGCTCACTCTTTTCCAACACCGTACTGGGCTATTTCGAGGATCAAGGCATGTGGACACTCGGATTCTGGGCGTCTGCCGGTTCTGCGTTTTTGGCATTGGTCTTGTTTCTGATCGGGACACCCAGGTATAGGCATTTCAAGCCCAAGGGAAACCCTCTCTCAAGGTTTTGCCAAGTTGTGGTTGCTGCGACGAGGAAATGGAAGGCTCAGATTACTCTCGGGGAAGATCATTTGTTTGAAATGGACAAGAATGAATCCGCCATTAATGGTGACAGAAGGATACTCCACACAGAAGGTTTCAGGTTTTTGGATAGAGCAGCAATCATGACACCCAAGGATTATGCAAACAAAGAGAAAAACGTCGAGGGTCGCAATCCATGGCGTCTCTGCACAATAACACAAGTTGAGGAAGTAAAGTGCATACTTAGACTACTCCCGATTTGGCTGTGCACCATCCTTTACTCTGTGGTCTTCACTCAAATGGCGTCGCTCTTTGTCGAACAAGGAGACGCCATGAATACCAAGATTTCAAACTTCGACATCCCGGCAGCCAGCATTTCGAGCTTCGACATACTCAGCGTGGCGACATTCATATTCATTTACAGGCGAATTCTAGACCCCATTGTCGCGAAAATAAAGACGGACCCGAAGGGACTCACCGAGCTTCAAAGAATGGGGATCGGGCTCGTTATAGCTGTACTAGCAATGGTAGCAGCTGGAGTCGTGGAGGTTTTCCGATTAAAATACGTAAACAAAGATTGCCCGAACTGCGACCACGCGAGCTCTTTGAGCATATTCTGGCAAATCCCTCAGTACATGCTTATAGGAGCCTCGGAGGTGTTCATGTACGTCGGCCAATTAGAGTTCTTCAACGCGCAGGCACCGGATGGTTTGAAGAGCTTCGGCAGTGCACTGTGTATGACATCGATATCACTGGGAAATTACGTGAGTAGTTTGCTTGTGACGATGGTGATGAAAATATCCACAAGAGACAACATGCCTGGATGGATCCCAGGAAACCTCAACAAAGGTCATCTGGACCTCTTCTTTTTCCTGTTAGCCGCTTTGACGACCGCCGACCTCGTGATCTACATCATGTGTGCCAAGTGGTATAGGTACATGAAGTTCGATGGACGGAGTAGTGGGGAAGATGATAGTAACAACAAGAACTTGCAGGCATCCGAAGCAGAGCTTAGAGTATAAGATTTTATACAGTGAGTAAATAAATAAGCTCAAGTGGGTTCTGCGATGAAACTAGGAGGAGATATAGATGCCATCTGATTGGGATGGCATTTCTCTTTTGTCCATGTCGAGCTAAGCATTTGAGTGTTAATCTTACAAATTAAGTAAACTTCATTGCTTTGATCAATTTCATTATCTTCGGCACCCACCTGCCCGTACATTTTATTTACTGTATTCATATTGTAATTTTAAGGAGTATTTAAATAAAATTTATATTGATCAATAAACACAGCCTTCCCGCAATTTATAAATCAAAATCATGGGTTAAGCAAGATATGAACATCCATTATTCATATATTATATATATCACTGTAAATAAAAAATTTGACAAATACGAACTAATAAGACTTTATGAAGGAAGGATATTTTGCCCCTGATACCGTGGCCTTGAGGGTAATATTGGAAGAAACACTGGAATTGAGTTTTTCCATTGGACCCTTAGGGGTCTATTGGAAAAAAAATTAAACCGAAAAAGCTCCCCACACATTTGTGGGCTTCTCAAAGACGGCCCTAATAGATATTGCCGAAAGCTGTTATCTTCTACTCTGTCAGTTCTTGCCAAAAGCCCTATTGATAACTTTTTACGTAGTTTTCTAATTAGCATTTTTTACTTTTATATATGTATTTTTAATATTATATTAATTAATTATTATAGTAAAGAATATTATTTAACATTCAAGATAAATTAAATTCGAGTTGAAAACAAATTCAAATATTTAAATTTTAAATAAAACTGGGTTGAAAGAGAGAACGAATTGGGTTGACGCAAGGAAAATCGACCCGCCTATTGCCATCCCTATATAAAGCAGTTCCACTGCCTGCCGGTTTAGGGTCTGGATAAGTGAAATCCATTCGCTCCATTGGAGACCTTTGTAGTAAGATTTGGGTCCCCAGACTAACCCTTTGCGGGAACTGGGAAAAGGAAGATAAAAAGAAGGGGGGAAATAAAAATTAAAACCCCTAAATCTAAAACCAGCAAACAGCAATTCCAAAAATTGAGAGATGGGGAAAGACGAAGAGGAGATGCGTGGCGAGATCGAGGAGAGGCTGATCAACGAAGAGTACAAAATTTGGAAAAAGAACACTCCTTTCCTCTACGATCTCGTCATTACCCACGCCCTCGAGTGGCCCTCTCTCACCGTCGAATGGCTCCCCGACCGCGACGAGCCTCCCGGCAAGGATTATTCCGTTCAGAAGATGATCCTGGGAACTCACACCTCCGAGAACGAGCCCAATTACCTCATGCTGGCTCAGGTCCAGCTTCCCCTCCAGGATTCGGAGAACGATGCTCGCCAATACGACCACGACCGGTCTGACCTAGGCGGTTTTGGATGCGCCAGCGGCAAGGTCCAGATTATTCAGCAGATTAATCACGAGGGGGAGGTCAATAGGGCTCGTTATATGCCGCAGAATCCTTTCATTATAGCCACTAAGACGGTCAGCGCTGAGGTTTTTGTATTTGATTACAGTAAGCATCCTTCGAAGCCGCCTTTGGATGGTGCTTGCAGTCCCGATTTGAGGCTTAGGGGTCACAGCACGGAGGGGTATGGGCTGTCTTGGAGTAAGTTCAAGCAAGGCCATTTGCTTAGTGGCTCGGATGATGCTCAGATTTGTCTATGGGATATCAATGCCACTCCCAAGAACAAGGCTCTCGATGCTATTCAGATCTTCAAGGTTCACGAGGGTGTTGTCGAAGATGTTGCTTGGCATCTCAGGCACGAGTATTTGTTTGGTTCCGTTGGGGATGACCAATACCTGCTTATCTGGGACCTGCGAACCCCATCAGTCACCAAACCCATCCAGTCCGTAGTTGCTCATCAGAGTGAGGTGCTTATCAATCGATTTTCTCATTTGTTTTATCCTATGCCTTAATTTGTGTATTTATGACAAAAAATATCAAGCTCTTCTGATAAACGAGTGGGAGAATTCGCTGATTTCATTTATTTCTATCTTAGTTAGGCTGAATATTACTTGGGATTTAGGAAACTCACTCAATGAAGAGATGGAAAGTGACCAAAACAACATATGGATTGGACTAAAATAGTATTTTCTTGTTTCATTTATATCTCTTAGTTTACTATCATTTTTCCGTGCCTTCAATTTTTGTGCTGAATCTTTAGGCATAATACTCTGATGAATAGAGTCGAACTTTAGTTTATGTCTGCTCTGATTGGAAATGCTTGTAAGTTGACAATTTCAATACTAAATTGCAAGTTTGGCACACTCTTTTGTTTGATGTTGTTATTTTCATGTCATCAGGTTAATTGCTTAGCTTTCAATCCCTTCAATGAGTGGGTTGTGGCAACTGGTTCTACTGATAAAACGGTTAAGTTATTTGATCTTCGCAAGATCAGTACTGCACTCCACACCTTTGATAGCCACAAGTAAGAAATTCTTCTTGAGGCATACTTTGATTACTTTTAGGCCCCGTTTGGTTAAAGGAATGTTGTATTATAGGGAGAATGGAATTCTCATTCCCCGTTTGATTGGCCGGTAATCCCATTCTCGATAATCTTTTATTACCAACATTGGATTTTTTGGGTATATTATTGGGAATGTGATTATCCCTTTCCCTTAGGTATTGTTGGATTACCGGCGTTTTGGATTAAAATGCCCTTAAATTTATCCTTAAACTATTTTAGATTTACAAAAAAAAATCTATAATTAAAATTTTATATTAAGTTCAGGGGTTAAAATAAAATTTTGTCATTTCATTAAACTTATTAAATTATATAAATTTTATGAATTTAATTTTTTTAAAGAAAATATATAAATTAATTATAGTAATATTATAGTAGAATTTAACTTGTTAAAACAACAAATATATAATATAAAGACAATTTGGTCAAATATACGTTCCAATAATTTTTTATTCCTTTAACCAAATACGATAATCTTACATTCCTGTTAAACCAACCAAACACAAAATACAATATTCTCAGTAATTTTATTCCCTGGTAATCTTTTATTACCAGTGGTAATCTTACATTCCGTAAACCAAACGCACTCTTAGGAGTGTTTAAACAGGTAATTCGGTTAACCAACTGAACCGAATTACCCAAATTCCAGTAACCGAATTTTTTTCCGTGTTAATGGTTAACCGAACCAAATTTTTTCTAAAAAATTTAACCGAATTGAACTAAGCTCGGTTAATTCGGTAAAAACAGAGTTCAAACACCCCTAAAGCTAAATAATATATATAATATATTAAATATTTAATAATTTCGGTTAATTAATTGATTTTGAACTGAATTAACCAAAACCGAAATTTTAAAAAAACCATTAACTTTTAACAGACCGAAATTTCGGTTCGGTCGGTTCGATTTTAACATAACAGTGAACACCCCTAATTACTTTTGTGGATTCATGAAATATTCCTATTTATTCTTTTTGGATACGTAATGAAATTATTATTATGTTTAAAACTAGATGTCCAAATGTTGAAGCTAGTATTCATGAATGTCGGCTACATTACATATAGCTATAAAGCTAGTCTGAGTGGTGAATATATGGATCAACCGTCTTTAATGGGATTATTATTGTGGAACTCTTGAAGATGTTTTAAATAACTAGTCATGAAGTTAAAGTTTGTAACGATTTGAAACAGAGAAGAAGTTTTCCAAGTTGGGTGGAATCCTAAAAATGAAACAATCTTAGCATCCTGCTGTCTTGGTAGAAGGCTCATGGTTTGGGATCTTAGCAGGTGAGTAACTCTTTGCCAAGTGATGTTTGGTTTTCCAAGTCTGTTGATCTTTTCTAAGTTTTAAGAAAAGTGATAAAAAGGAAAGGATTTGTATGACAATACATTGATGTCAACTTTTGCTCAAAAAGATCGATTGGATCACGTAGCTAATCTTCTTTTGATGCATCTACATTCTAAAACCTCGTTCACATTGATAATATGTTATTTGAATCTTATTCAGGATTGATGAAGAACAGACACCAGAGGATGCCGAAGATGGTCCACCTGAGTTGCTCTTCATTCATGGTGGTCACACCAGTAAAATATCGGATTTTTCATGGAACCCATGTGAAGATTGGGTTATTGCTAGTGTAGCGGAAGATAACATCCTTCAAATATGGCAGATGGCAGAGAATATTTACCACGATGAGGATGATGTACCGGGAGATGAATCTGCCAAAGGTTCATAAATGTATTTTTCTCCCCTGTTAGTGGGTCGGAGAACCAACCGGGATAGCCTGGGAGGTTGACAACTTTAGGAGTAAATTTAGCTTGTTTTCATATGTTTTACAGTTCTGTTCTCAACTCTTTCTTAACTCCGACTGAATTGATGTTTGATCTCATGTGTTACTGATATTTAATACATGTCTTGTATTTTACTATTTAATAGCATCAGTATTTCGCTAATCTCCCCACCTGGATATGCGGTTATAAAAAAACAAAAGGACTTGGAAGATTGAAGTGCCCTCAAGAAGAGAGATGAAAGCTTGTTTAATTAACAAGTGACAGCGTGAGAGAGAAGGGTGCCACTACATAATTCCAAAGCATAAAACCGCCCTTTCCTGTTCCCAACATCTGGCTAATGGAGCCTTGACAATAAACTATCTTTAACCATTTGCTATATCACCACACACGTACATATTGTATGAATTTGTAGTTATGTTCATTGCTCGGGGATTGGCATACTGCAGGAGAAGAGTGAAGTGTCCGACTCCACCATGCCTGCTCTGCTTTTACAACAGGCGGGCAACAAAATATTCCTTATCACAATGAGGGATGCTTTCAATCCCTATCCTTTCAACCCTGGAGGAATTGAATTAAAGTAGCTTGGTTTAGGTTAAGGTTATGTTAGATCGTTAGGTAGATTCCATCATGATCGTATCAGCAACACTGTAGCCAATCAGGTCAGGGAATAAAACATAGAATACCAGCCTGCTCATTTTCAGTAATTTCATTCCTACGAGGGAAACTCACTTTCAAGTTAAAAATTTAATAATTCATAGTCAACATAAGCACATGATGCTATGTTATCCTTACTCATAATGTATGTTTTTTTATTTTATTAATATGAGGTAAGTACAAGACAATGTTTGTTCTAACATAACTCTCAATTATTTGACATTGAGATCTCATAATGTATGTTGAATACATATATATGTCAAATTAGGTATTAGAGGATTCGTACATCGTACTAATCCCCATATACGTGTTTAACACAAGTGAAGATGACGAGCGCCATGTGCTGTCAGATAAATAGCATTTTTTTCTCGAATAAATAAGCTAGAAACATAGTATAGAGAAGAAAGAGTCGATCAGTAGGGACTTTGGAGATTATGATGTAGGAAGGTTTTTTATTCTAATTTTAAAGGAGAATTTTTTGGCTCATCGAAGGAGGCCCCAATTTCAGCTAGGGTTCAACAGAATCTTAAAGCTACGGTCTGAAGCTTTTCCATTCATCATGAATTGCACACTGACTATAAAACAAATCTGGCAGGAAATTAGAATGAATGGGGAAAAAGTCATATGGCAATCCTTGATTTGGTTCCCGCATCATATTCCGAAACATAGTATAATAGCATGGATGGCTCTCCTTGATCGTCTCCCAACACGGGATCGACTTCAAAGTATGGGGATTATCACTTTAGGGGACTGTGTTCTTTGCAATGCAAAGATGGAAACTCATTCTCACCTGTTTTTTGAATGCTCCATGGCTGCTACTCTATGGGAATCAATTTTACTCCATAATGGATTAAAGAAATCTATTTCTTCCTGGGATGACATGATCGTTTGGGCAAGTAATACTTGGAAAGGCAAGTCTCTTATTTCAACTATTCTAAAGCTTGCTTGGTGTACTAAAATCTATGTTTTATGGGAGGAGCGTAACCGAAGAATTTTCCGCAGGTGTACAAGAACTGCCGAAGACCTCTTCTTTTGCATCAAAGAATATGTAGGAATCAAAATGAGACGGAAAAATATTAATATGTCTAATAGTATTAACACTTTTTATGTAATTCTTGGAGTATAGAGTAACCAATCTTTTGTTTTGTAAGTAGGTTGTACATAAGGTTTATGTGAACGATATTTTTTTTGTAGCAAATTTTGCTTACTTGGATAGTAAAATTGAATTACCCAAAAAAATAAAAATAAAATAACTGTGAAAAAGTAAATCTACAAAATTAACGAAAGTAAAATGTAAAATAAATTCAATTTTAGTCAACAGCCTCAGGTCTCGTTTTGCCTCAATTTCAATTGATCATCATAGAGGATTTTTCCAAAATCAATATTTGGAATTCAATCTTTATTTGGACTAACCACGACTATTGTTGACAGCGCCAATAGAGTTTAAGTTTGGGAAAAGCCTAACTCGGATTATGTTGTCTTAATGAGAATCAAATTCTATCTCAATTTTACTTAGCATACCGTCACTAAGTGTGTTTTCAGGAAGTCAAACTTGCTACAAGCCGATTCTTCCTCCCAACTTTAAATCATCATAATAACATGCAGACCAACGTCAACTTTTTGAAATGAAAGTGTTTTGATTTTTAATGGAAATACCGATTGTCAATCTAAGTTTGGAAAAAATTGAGAATTATATTCAAAGATATTAGGTGCTCTTCAATTCTCACGTCATAATTGAGTCATTGTTTAAACCTTTGGCTTATTGGAAAATTAGCTGAGCATGATAGAAAAAAATATAAAAACTTAAAAATTAAAATGAAAGAGAAAAGAAAAACTTTATAAAATGAGAAAGCAAAGAATAAAGCTAATCCAATGTATGTTTCAAGCTTTACCCTAATAGATATTTATAGCTTTCTAAATCCCTAAAAAAACTAAAATGAAAATAACTAAGGATAAAATTTAAAAATATTCAAATAATAAAATCCTAAAGATAAACAAATGATATATCCTAAATTTAAATTCAAACTAATATCCTAAGAAATTTTCATTCATCCTTCTAGATGATTCTGACTGGATCGCCTTTAGAAATTGTTACCGATTAGATTTTTTAGAAACTGTCACTTCGGATCGCGTTATCCCTATTAATCCATCATCGATTCTAGAAAAAAAAAACTGCGGAATTTACTCTTAAAACATTGTTTTATGAATATTAAAGTACCATAGAAAACGAATCAAAACAACCCAAATCAACAATATCAAAGAGACAACAACGAGTAATTAACCAACAAATACTAACAAAATAAATCACTCATCAAAAGACACTGTACTCCAAGCACATTAAATAGTCCGGATAACATAACTCGTATGTATCAGGGATCGAGTTTAGATGAAAGCATAAGTTTAATGTTGGAGACAATCCCAAAGATCTAATTGGAAAAGAAAGGAAAACTAAAGCTTTATGTATTGAGCTGAACTGAAGTCATCAAATGTAAAAGGATTCGAGCTACCGTATCCGAACAGAGTGTTCAAAAGATATCAACTACTTAGAAAACAGCATATGCTCAACATTAAAAGGATTCGAGCTACCGTACTCCTAATTGCGCTTCCCGTGTTCTATTTGATATATCGCTTATATTCGACTCTTTTAATCAATAAAAAATTCAATTTAAAAAATAATAGTGATGATGAATGTGCAACTGGCGGATCCAGAAATTTATAGACGTGGGTATGCAAATTTTTATTTTATTTTTTCTTCTTCCCTTACTATATTGAATTCTAATCTAAAAATGATGGACCCTTATGAAAAATATGCATCCACCCCTGATTGCATGCATTCTCATACATATATTTAGGCAAATAGCTTATGAGGACGAGGATCGAAACAAATAGCCCATAGCAAAGTTATCGGGACACAAAGATAGCTCTTAACAAAAGAATTAGACATTTCATATTTGATCATAGAATTTGATGTCAAATGAGTGGTCAATATCTTGAACGAAGCCGTAGTAGAGGATCAGCCAACGAACATTTTGATAAGAGACTCTGAGATGATTATTAAGGAGGATTGGGTTAAAGAAGTTCGTTATACTTTTCTTGAGGGAAATGAATGTACGGATCACCATGTGGACTTAAAACAAGACTAAATAGGCAATTTAATTTTACTTGAAGCGTCACCTGTTGGTTTAATCTATCACAATACCATGTAAAAATTTCTGGTGTTTGGCAGCTCTGACTAATAATTATATACCACAAATTAGGCAAGGCAACTTGGTTACACGAAGAATAAGATTATCATGTAAACAACTACAGACTTTCAGATTTATTGTTCACAAACACAAGAAGAATATAAATGAACTTCATCATCTCTTCTCAGTAGTTATAAAACCAAATACTATCTGATACAAAAACATTCCAAATTATAAGAATACAGTAATGTGCGGCAGACTGTGACATATATATAACCTGCACCGAACAAAATTATGTTAGTTGCGAAAAAAATCGCTTGATAAAAGATTATAATTGTAGAACTGCATGATTTGCAGATAAAAACGTCACCTCAAATGAATATGCTAATTTATCACTGGTAGAGTTGCAAAGTCTGCCTAGGCAGCAACCTGCATATGCAACGTGTACCGATCGTGATTGGAACGTGAGAGGGAAGATATATGTTAAACCGATGATCAAATGATACTTTGGTGCTTTAAGAGTGTATCATGCAAAATCTAGTTAATGGCTCAAGATAAATGTAGTTAGGGTGATTCAAATTCTTATCCGCTTTCTTACTTTAGCTTTCGATCATAGAAAGGGTAAACCATGTCTCTTTTACCTTTTCAGCTTCTGGGGTGAAGATGACTTTAACTGCCTCAAACACCTCCCCAACGGGCTTTGCAGCATCAATCTAAACGTCAAAGCAACAATTCTAAAGTTGATGCAACTACGCCGATCATCCACTAAATAACCAAATGCTTCTGAAAGATTATTACCTCTCGGACTTTCCCCTTGGCCTTATAGTACTCAATGACAGGAAGGCTGGACTCGAGAAACACCTTGAATCGCTTTCTTACTGTTTCAATGTTATCATCTTCTCTTCCCTTCATTATGGAGATATGGACAAATAGTGTAAACAAATAGTGTAAACAACAGAAAATGGCACAAGAGGAAAAGGAAACAAAGAAATCTAACGTAAATCATATGGATAAACCTATAGAGAGAGAGAGATTGAATAACCTGGTTCCTACTCAGAAGACGCCTCTCCATCTCTTCTTCAGGGCAATTGAAAACCAGTACAAATTCAGGCTTGATTTTTGTCTGCAGAACCACCAAATTTTAGCCATGATAAATACATAACTGAATACGGAGAAGACAAGGTAAACAGGGTCACAGACACGTAAAACGAAAGAAAAAAATTATCAGAACCGAGTGATAGACTTACAACAGCTTCAAATGCTGCACGGTTTTCCTCATTACGAGGAAAACCATCAATAAGGAACTTGTCATTAACACTTTCCAGCATTGCTTTTTGGAGAAGCTTAATTGTGACCTCAGAAGGAACAATCTTTCCCTCTTTGATCATGTTCTGAATCATGGTTCTGTAGATCAGAAGAGAACATTCCTTAGATCGATCAGAAAAATGTGGCATGGAAAATGGTTCAAATGAATAACTAATACTCAGCATGCAAAAAGGTTCAAATGCAAACAACTGAGAGAGAATACAGACAACTAGATTAGCACATGAGAATCAGCTCTACTTCTACCCTTAAACATAAATATGCAACAAAGGCAGATCAGATTCAGTAATTGAAAGAGAAAGGCCAATATTAGAAACTCAAAAAGATCTGAAAATATTTATTTGTCTAATTTCAAGAGCTTAGTGTAAAAATAGCAATTATGTTCAATGAAAATATCCCATTTAGAATTTGAACAGATCTCTACAGGAACAGCCTACACCAAGCAATAACATAGATATTCAATCATTAGAAACAAGATTTTTTTCTTCTTGAGTCAATATATCTAAAAGTTTTGTATTCTATTTCTAAATGGATGCTGATTCCAGATTTCAATCATGTGTAAAGACAAAATATGAATAAAATCTATAGAATTAGCTAGAAACAATGCATGTCTAATCTTTTCAGTGTTCAGACACATATATCATACCCATTTTCAGAACCAGACTTAATTTCTGCTCGGAGGAGATCTCCAGCACTGAGATGAGTGTAATGGAAGTGTTCCACTATATTTGCACATTGGGTACCTTTTCCACTGCCAGGGCCACCTGATCAATAAACATGACATGGGAAAAAAAACCCACCAATAGTAGTAAGCATTTGCAAACAAGATGAAAATGTAAATGTCAAACTACCAAAAGACAAAATACATGGGAAGAAGTCTCTTACCCAAAACAAAAACAACTTTAGGCTTCTTTTCGGCCAATCTAGCAGTGATATCCTGAATATACATGCAAAAATAAGCTGATTTGGATAAAAAACTGCAAATGCATGATAAAGGATGTTCGAACAACATAATAAAATTTTAACGCCCCCCATTACCATGTCCGCAATATCAACTGTTCCCATGATTCAAAAGCTAGCTTAGGTCTGGAGAGCGTTTAACCTGCATAAATCAAAAACGAAAACAAAAGGTATACGAAATTAAGAAAGGCAAGACAAGAGATCTGAATAAAGAAAAACACGAGGGCATCGAAAAAGGGATCTTCTGTATAGCAAGTTGATGCCATGCGGAGGAACACAAAACATGCACAGTTGCACATTGGAATCAGATTCGAATTCCGAATTCCACGTACAGAATGAAGAAGACGAAATGAAAAACGTTGTAAAGAACTGGATTATACACAGATCAAAATGGCGTCGGATTGGCATTGAAGACGGAAAACAAAGAGAAGAAGAAACAGATCAGACCGGATCCAATCAGATCCAGTCATAAGAGAAGATTAAAATGCAGGGAAAGTAAGAAATTTACCTGAATTGTTATTAATTTTTTTTTAAAAAAATGAGAAGGAAGGGAAGGAGGGAATGGAGGTGTGGAGGCAATTAAATATGGAGGTTTGCCTTTGGTTTTGGCCTTGGGACGACCATTCAAAAGGCTTTTAAATACTTTTGAATGAGCCTGCCTGCTTCCCTGTGTGGATCTTGAATTCTAGATCTAGGAAATTCGGGTACAAGTCAATATTACACGTTATGCTGACCCCATTTAATCAATCAATGCCATATTTATTGCTGACACCTTTAATCAAATAATTAAAAATGTTATATTAAAAAAAAACTCCGAAAGAGATAAAATTGTACACCTAATTCAGTTAAAGTGATAAATAATTTGATATTGTTTAAGTAAATCTCAGTTTAAGTGGTAAGTAATTTGATATTATTTAAGTAAAACTCAAATTCGAATCTTTATGTATGTAGAAAATTTTCGCCTAATATATGACTTAAGTCGATCTGAATTAGTAAAGAAGAAACTTTAGGAACATGAGGGACAAAAAATAGTAAAACTTAAAAACAATGTACATAACATGAATTTTTTATTCAATGTTTACACTTAATCAGTTTTTTGAATTATTAAAAATAAAATTATTTTAATTTTGTGGCGAGAGAAAAATATATTGAACACAAAAATATATAAAACATCTGATTCTAAAAATAGAACTATAAAATTTACACCTTTTTTCATTTTTTTTCTCTTACAAAATAATGTAAATTAATAAATTTCTTTCTCTTACCACAAAAGAAAAATTATGTTCGCATCAAGGGAATATAAAATAAAAATGGATTAAAATTAAGTAAATAATCTAAAAGATTTAATAGGTTAATCTAAATACTAATGTGCAATCTATGATTTTTATTAGGTTGTAAGATAATCATGTCATGCCTATATATATATGAATTTATTCTGATACTACTTTTTAATAGATTTAGATTTGAAACTTCCGTAACGAATTTCTTCAGTCTCGTGGACGTGTCGAGTTTGTCTTATACCGTAACAAATGCCGTATATTACAAATTAATGTTTAAGTTGATCTATTAGATCAAATAATTAATCCATTTAGATTATTGGTCGTCCAATTTTACCTAAAAACGGAAGGCGTCCATGCCGACTTGCGTTGATTATCCGCTGAAAGAGAGAAATACATACATATGGTGTTTTCAAAATGTTAGTTTCTTTTGTATAATTTATTTTTGTTGATTTATTTTCTAAAGCTTGAATAAGCTTTATTAAATGGGAATATTAATTACGAATGTCCAACCTTTTTCCATTCTAATTTACTTGATAACTCAATAACCATGTTCCGGTCTTTTAATAAAAATAAAAAAGGCATAATTTCCCGTCCTTTACACCAAAGCAAAAAAAAAAAACAAAAATTAAATGGAATTACCTTTATTTTCATTTTCAACCATATATGAAACATAAAGCAAAGCAACGGAGAGAGTTCCAAGCAGTTGTGCCCCGTCTCCATTAAGCCTGTAAATGAATTGAACGATCAACGAATCGTTCATAGACTGTGCAGTGAGAAATTTATTTATGTTCGTTTATTTATTAAATGAACGAACATGAACATACCTCTGTTCGTGTGTGTTTAGTCTAGTCTCCATAGAAGCAATTCATAGCAAGGACGAAGTTAAGAAAATAGAGGTCAAGATTGAATTAAAATAAATTTTTAAAAGATCAAAATTTGTTACTGTAGTTTATCATTATATAACTTTTATAATTATTAAAGATATTAAATTAAAACTTTAGGGAGTCGAAATAAAATTATATCAGTCTCTTAACTTTAAATTTTCAAATTTTAGAAGGACAAATGTTGAAATTTACCCATTTAGAGGAGGTAAGCCGTAATACAATAATAATATAAACATAAAGTCACACAGCACAATAACACAACAATCCCATGTGGTCATGGAAATTACACATATGGCACAACACTACATCACTAAGAATGGATCTAACAAAGAATCTCAAGCTGTCAAATACTTAACATAATCGAATTCTGCATTACTTACTAGTCTCACATTAGTTGAATACGGAAACGAGTCGAAGAAGAATCATATCGGAGTTAATATCATCGAGTCCATGATACAGAATCGATCTCGTCCCTTGCAGCCTTGTATAGTTCAAGCCTTTTAGCACACTGTTGTCTCCTCTCCATCAAAGTTGGATCCTCATCTAACATTTGTGACAGCTGCTTCCCCTGAAACACAAGCACATGCAAAAACTCATTAACCATGTCCCTCACCCTTGTTTAAGGGAAAGATTATTCACTACACATAAGAGTGCTCGTGAGTCGTCACACATTACCTCTTTCTTCCCTAGCTGCGTGTAAAACCGGCTTAGCAGTGACTGTTTTGCCTCCCTAACTTGACAGTAAACCACGGCCTTCGGGATTACGTTCTTAAGTGTATCTGACACCATACCGATATATGAGGAAACATTTGACCCTATCCTCCGAAAATGGCCCTCACCATACCGGTCCACAGCTGCAGTAGCTTGAGGGTTCCCTCCAGGATTTCCTCCTTTATTTTCTACTTCTTGGGGAAGCTTCCGGAAGAACTCTACTGTTAAATAAGATGATTCCATATCTACCAACCGAACAACTGTCTTCTTACCTTCATCTCGAAACCTCTCCAAGGCCTCGTTAGCAGCTGCTGCTATATCAGCTCGCAGTGTGGGAAAGCGTTTCAATTCCTGTTAATAGAAAACATCAATAGGCTTTCATCTATGGGACGCTAGATAAACTTAAATTGCATAAGATAAATTTTCTCAAATTTTAACCTGTGTTTCTTCCATAGATTTCCTCACAAGTTCCTTCAAGACGAAGTGAACCTACATAGTGTAAAGTACATAAGCTAAAAGTAATATCACAAAATCAGAAAAATGCTTTTAACTACTTGAAGAATTCAGAATAAATCTAGAATAATTATTAAAGAATAAAGGATGATACTTACAGCATCCACAGAAGCTTCAGCTGGTCCCCTGAAGTAATTTAAAGCCCCTTCAATAAGCCTGCGGTAACCTTGCTCAGGTGCTATCAAGTGCGGTTGATAACCATCTGCCTCGGACACTACTCTCTTTACATTTTGCAGAGAAAGATGGCGATCAAAGGGAAGCTTCCTCAAAGCAGCAGGTAGCTGGTTGTCAAAGACTCCATAAATTCGATCACCTCCAGGTCGCCTAATATATCAAAGTGGTGAAAATGGAAATGACAAATAACCCTAAAATTGGAAGCACGGAACTCAATTCACTAAAATCACATGATCCAATTTTGTTCAATTACATTAAGGTTACCCATAGTTGAATCATGAGAAGAAAATTGAATTAGATTATGTTTCCAACCTTTACAAAAGGATATTTGGGTTTCTAAAGCAAAGAATTAGTCCATATCTTAAGAGCATGAATCTAACTCAAGGATGAATGATTTGATTTCTATGCTCAGACTAATAACCACGACAAAGAAAGGGGGAAAACAACAGAAGTAGAAGAAACTTTACCCTCCATCTAGGTGCTCCTTGAATATCCGTTCAAACGCACGACAAACTTCCAATACGGAGTATAGTTGAGCCTAAGATAAAACATCACAATTATACACAGCACATGAAGTAACTTACATAGAAGTAGAAAAGGCATGCAACTCACTCCAGCATCTAGAGCAATAGGCCTGCCAAGATGATCCATCTCTGATTCAAGTTCATCAATACTTTTGTTTATCAAAGAAGTGATGCTGGGTATCCGAGCCCTAATTACAGATTCCAAGTGCTGAAAACAAGGCAACATTGTTAGAAATATTCCCTTTAAGATTGCAAAAAGCCAATACTTAGTAAAATGTACTCAATATCAAACCTGTGACAGAAGTTTTGCAAGGTACTCTGAACCCATTTTACTTGCTAAGTGTCCATAGTCTGGACTAGTGGCAAAATATTCACGCTCCTTGCGTCTTGCCACAATCATGTCCACATTTTTGTTTATATCAGCCTGTGAACGGTTCACAATTCCAACCCAAGGATGCTGTAGCCGGTAAGATCTTCCTTCAAGAACCTTAAGAATGGAAAAGGAAATAAAACATGTTAGTAGACCAAGTCAGAAACAATAGAATAAACAAAGAATAGACATGGTCAGATACAGTAAATATAAAATTTCATATGAAAGAGAAAGAAAGCAAACTCACATCCAAAGCATTAGTCCCTTTGTCCATAAGGTCAAGCTTAGTTATCACACCAAACGTCCGTTCACCTGGTATGAGAAAGACACAATTCTTTCAATGGAAAGGAAAGAGTAAAATATACTTCGCAAAGATTTGCATCTATACTAATGCTATAGTAAAATGATAATTAATACATACCAGAGGGGTCTACCTCCCTGGACAGTTTGATAGCATCAGAAGTTGCTATATCTTGATTAGCTGGAGATATAGCTAGTATGATACAATTAGGCTACAAAAAGTATAATGATGATTCAGAATGCAACAGCACAGAAATAAGAAGCTTCAGATGAGAAAAGATTGTTTAAGCGTACAAAGATTGAATTCATTCAAGCAGACACTTATATCCCAGCGAAGAGAGAGAGTTTGCAGGGGGAAGGGGTAAAATACTATTCTCGCTTAATGAAAAGCACATTTAAAGGATGAGATGCTTACCTTATCAACATAAGACCGAACCATGGTTTCGATGTCTTCAACTATACTTTCCGGTTGTCCCTCTAAAAAGAACAATGGTCCCATTCAACAATTGAACACGAGAAAAACAATGAATATTAAAAAAAATAACACTTACCAACGGCAACTTTTGTTAAGCCCGGTAAATCAATCAGGGTTAAGTTGACAACTGTGTAAAGATAATAAATGGTGTTAGCTAAATGACTCTGACCCTTACTTCTAAAAGGGAAACATAATCTTGATTTTGACGACAAACCATTTGGAGAGTAGATACTGAGATGGATGGGAACAGGAGATATTTGTTTAGTCTTCCCAGTAATTCTATCAGTTTCCTCCTGAATTTCATGGCGGACCGCCCCTGCACCAAGAAAGGATGAGCAAAATAAGCTTCAATTTCAAATTAACAGAAGAGGAATAATCCATACAACCAGAATTTGCAACTAGCGTGTACGAATAAATAAAAAAAACTTCCAAGAAGGTTTTCTTATTTACTAGATTCTCCATAATTGAAACGAAGGAAAGCTAAAAGCATGCCAAGTCCAGCTAATTCGTAATCTGACGAATCCAAAGGCAAAGTAAAAAAGAAAAAATAATTACCAAAATCAGTGAATCTTCTCTTGGGCAGGTGAAGAAACTCAGCATATTCCTGCGACCCTTCGTCCGTCTTATGAAGTTGCAACACCAAAGGACGTCTAGTCACGATTCCTGCACAGAATTACACATAGCTATTAGTCCGACTAAAGAGACTAAAATTTCTAAAGAAGAAGAAGAGGGGAAACTAACAAACCCGATCCTCTGGGAAGGAAGTCACGGCCAACTATGCTCTCGAGCACCGAAGACTTCCCTGAACTCTGTTCTCAATCCAAAAACGAAGCCTAACTCATATTAGTGTTAACAATGAACATTTGGGCAGTATATCATTTTATTCCTCTTATTTTCAATTACAGCAAATTGGTCCTTATATACACAATAGCTTCCTATAACTAACTCAGTAACAGAAATCTAACAAACTCAACAAACTAACAGATTACATAACTGTATTGCAACAGTTAATACTTTCTACACTCCCCCTCAAGTTGGTGGTTGCAAAGATGTCTTTAAACCCCAACTTGGAAACTAGATATTCATGTTGATGCACACCCAAGGCTTTTGTCATCAAATCTGCTTGTTGCTCCCCTGTCTTGACATGTTTAGTTTGTATCAAGCCTTCTTGAATCTTCTCTCTGACAAAATGACAGTCTATCTCAATGTGTTTGGTTCTCTCATGAAAAACTGGATTAGCTGCTATTTGCAAAGCTGCTTTATTATCACACATTAATTGTGCTGGTGCTAAGTTTTTCAAGCCTAACTCTGCTAACAAACCCTTCAACCATATAATTTCTGCCGCGGTTCCTGCCATGCTTCTATATTCTGCTTCTGCAGAAGAACGCGCAACCGTGTTCTGCTTCTTAGACTTCCAAGAGATTAGAGACATTCCAAGCTTAATACAGAAACCTGTTACAGACCTTCTAGTCATAGGACAGGCAGCCCAGTCAGAGTCACAGTAAGCAATTAACCTGCACTCACTCTTCGCACTTAGCAAAATCCCTTGTCCAGGATTTTTCTTGATGTATTTTACCACTCTTAGAGCAGCTTCAAGATGCGACCTTTTTGGTTTATGCATAAATTGACTGAGGAAATGTACAGCATAGACAATATCTGGCCTTGTGTGAGTCAGATATATTAATCTACCTATAAGTCTCTGAAAAACAGACTTATCCTGCAACAGTTCTTCATTGCTACAAACTGCTTCATCATACTCTGCTGAAGTAAACTTTTTATTTTGCTCAAGAGGAGTCAAAGCTGGTTTAGCTCCCCCTACTCCAATCTCTTCAATCAACTCTAAAGCATACTTTCTTTGATTCAGCACAATCCCTTCCCTTGATCTTAGAACCTCTAATCCTAGAAAGTACTTCAACTCCCCAAGATCTTTCATTTTGAAATTCTCATTCAAAATGTGTTTCAATTCTGCTATCAATCTCTCACTACTCCCAGTGATTAAAAGATCATCAACATATATCAACAAAACAACTATATCACTCCCTTGTTGCTTTGTAAACATTGAATAATCATACTTGCTCTGTATATAACCAGCTACAAGTAAGGCTTCTGTTAGCTTCAAATTCCATTGCCTAGAGGCTTGTTTTAGTCCATAAAGTGATTTATGCAGCCTACAAACCTTAGACTCCCCCTGGCTGCAAAAACCATCAGGAAGTGCCATATAGACTTCCTCAACTAAGTCACCTTGTAAGAATGCATTGTACACATCCATTTGATAAAGAGGCCAAGAAAAAATGGAGGCAATGGCAAGGACAGTTCGAACAGTGACTAGTTTAGCAACTGGAGAGAAGGTATCCACAAAGTCAACCCCTTCTCTTTGATTGAATCCTTTAGCAACAAGGCGAGCTTTGAACCGTTCAATATCTCCATTAGCCTTGTACTTGATTCGGTATACCCATTTACAGCCTATTGGAACTTTCCCTGATGGCAGAGTAACTATTGACCAAGTGTTGTTTGACTCCAAAGCTTCAATCTCTTCCTTCATGGCTTTAATCCACATAGGGTTGGTGATGGCTTCAATATAGGTTTTTGGTTCACTTATATGAGAAGTGGAAGATAAGAAACTTTGAGTTTTAGAAGGTAAGTGAGAATAAGAAATGAAATTGGAGATAGGATACTTACTTGGAAGAGATGAAGATTGGTAGGATTGAACATAGTCATGTAGCCAATTAGGGGGTTTGATAATCCTAGTGGACCTTCTCTGAGCCAGACCCTGAGTTTGTGGTAAAGAAAGTTGACCAGAACATGGAATTGAAGATGGAGTAGGCAAACTAGTTGAGACTTGAGGTGATGCAGAAGAAGAAGAAGAGGAAGAAGGAGAAGACAAATTAGGTGAAACAGAATCAACAGGATGAGAAGGTGCAGAAATTTCGAGAGTAAGAAAATCAGAATCATCAATGAAGGACTGAGTAGGAAAAAATGGAGAAGGCTTATTTAATGGAATTGAGAAAGGAAAAATAGTCTCATGAAAGACTACATCACGATTAACAAAAAAAGACTTTGTATGAAGATCAAAAAGTAGATATCCCTTTTGAGTTGAGGAATAACCCATAAAAACAGAAGGTAAGGCTTTTGGAGAAAATTTGTCCTTACAATTGACTTTAGTTGCATAACAAAGGCAACCAAAAACTCTCATATGAGAAAGATTAGGTGATTTTTTATAGAAAACTTCAAATGGGCTTTTCCAGTTTAGAACAGCAGTAGGAAGTCTGTTAATGATATAACAAGCTGTTAAGACACACTCACCCCAAAATTTGATAGGAACATGAGAATGGAATCTAAGAGCACGTGCTACCTCTAAAAGATGTTTATGTTTTCGTTCAGCAACACCATTTTGTTGGGGTGTATGAACACAAGAGCTTTGGTGAATGATACCAAGGGATGAAAAAAGCTCAGAACAGTTATCACTAAAAAATTCACCACCATTATCACTACGAACATACTTAACTAAAGTAGAATGATGATTTCGAACAAGATTAAAAAATTGTTTAAGGAAGATAATTGCATCACTCTTAAGTCTCAACAGGTAAACCCAAGTGAACCTAGTATGATCATCTACAATAGTCAAAAAAGACCTATGACCACTGTGTGTTGATATTCTATATGGACCCCATAAGTCAATATGAATTAAATCAAAAGGTGTAAGTGACCTAGAAGAACTAATTGGAAAGGGTAACCTAGACTGTTTTGCAAGAGGACAAACAGAACATTGCTTAACAGAATTTTCATTTAATGGGACAGAACACAAAAATGGAGTTTTATGCATTTTAACAGAAGTAGCATGCCCTAAACGTGCATGCCAAAGCATTGTATTATTGTCACAGGAAACAGACATACAACCAGAATCAACTTTACATTTGGATGATGACAAAACAGAAGTAATATTTGTAAAGGACAAACCAGAAACAAGGTCTTTAGAGTCGAACAAATAGAGACCACGAGCTTCCCTACCAATCCCCCTCATCTTCCCAGTGAAGAGATCCTGCAAAATACAAAAATGAGGGTAAAACTGATACTGCAGTTGAGATCTTTAGTGAGTTTTGACACTGACAGTAAGTTATGATGAAAATTAGGAACATACAACACGTTTGGAATAATATCAACTGAGTTAAAATGAAAGCTACCAGTATGGGTGATTGGAACAGTTTTACCAGTGGGCAGATGGACAGAACTAGGCTGACATGAAGTTAGAGATTGCAAACAATGGATTTCAGACACCATATGGTCAGTGGCCCCTGTATCAAGTATCCAACGAAACGAATTAGAAGAGTCAGGTGAGCACAAGGAAGCAATACCTGCTAGGTTGACTGCTGCATCCACCGAGGGAGTTTTGTTCAAGAGCTCTAGAATCTGATGATATTGAGCTGCTGTGAAAACTGGAGAAGTATTAACTATGCTGGAATCATGTGAATCATGATTGGAGTCAACCAGGGAGGGATTAGTAGCAAAAGCTGCCTGAGAATTCTTCTTCTTGGTAAATTTGAAGTCTGGAGGAAAACCAATCAAACGATAGCAGTTGTCTCGCTTATGACCTTTGATTTTACAGTAATCACAAACACCATTGAATCGCCTACGATCTGAATTTCCAGATGCATTGGAGTACATGGCAGTGGCACCCGAAACACCAGATAACTGAGCTCGTTGTGCTTCTTCTTGTACAATCATGGAATATGCTTGATTTACATTCGGTAGAGGTTGCATAAGCAGAACTTGGCTACGAATGGCTGAGTAAGTATCATTTAGGCCCATAAGAAATTGCAATAACCTCTGTTGTGCGATGTGTTTGGAATTCTGCTGAGATACCTCGCAATTACAGGCTGAAAGAGGAACTAGAGCATGGTATTCGTCCCACAACAATTTCAATCTCGTAAAATAGGTCGAAACTGTTGAGTCACCTTGATTTAGGGTAGCAATTTCACGATGTAAAAAAAATATTCGAGATCCATCTACCTTATCGAAGCGCTCCTTCAAATCACTCCAAACTTGAACAGCGCTTGAAGCGAATACAATTCCAGCCGAGAGATCGCTGCTTACAGTGTTAAGAATCCAGGACAAAACAACCGCATTACAACGTTCCCATTGAGAGTGCAGGATCTCATCATAATCTTCTTTGCAGCAGGTGCCATCAACGAGACCTAACTTATTTTTGGCCAGCAACGCGATTCTCATAGATCTGCTCCAGACGGTATAATTGTCGATGCCAACCAGACGATGCGAGACCAGAACACCGCCCGGCGTATCAGACGGATGCAAAAATAGAGGATGATTGAAGTCGAGCACGGCGGTGGTAGCAGCAGCGTCAGGAGTGTCCATTTCTTCGAAAGAAATCGCCCAAAACCAGACCTAATTTAGACGAGAGAAAAAAAGAAGAAAGCCACGGGCAAAGAGTAGAGGAAAACGGCCCAAAAACAAATAACCTGGGCTAAACTGATACCATGTTAACAATGAACATTTGGGCAGTATATCATTTTATTCCTCTTATTTTCAATTACAGCAAATTGGTCCTTATATACACAATAGCTTCCTATAACTAACTCAGTAACAGAAATCTAACAAACTCAACAAACTAACAGATTACATAACTGTATTGCAACAGTTAATACTTTCTACAATTAGAAGATGGGTCACGTTTGTTGTTCACAGAAAGATAGAAGAAATTTAAAAGAGAAACCTGTCCACCAACGACGGCGACAGAAGGAAGAGCCTCCCAAAGGGAAGAGAAAGTATTATCGCCGCCACCATAATCACCGAGAGCCGTACATGCTCGCTGAATCCTGTTAACCAAGCCGATCAAGCTCTCCATAGTGGTCATCTTCGATGGCAAACCCTAGAAAAAAAATGACAGGTTGAAGTTGAAATTGAACGAGGAAAATAAATTAGCTGATGGGTTTCGCAGGTTGCGATGAACTAGCAGATAGAGGTGGAGAAAAAAAATGGAAACTTCAGAAATTTTTAAAAATTAAAATATTAAAAGTAGAATAATCGTCGTTACGTTCGGACAATCGTCATGAGTGTGCTAAAGATATTAGGGTGAAAATTCCCCGATAGTCCCTTACTATATAGTGTACTTTTGTTTAAATCCTGAAAAAATTATAAAATAATCAGACGAGTTAATGAAAAATAATAAATTTGTTAATGTAAAAAATTATTATTTCTTAATTCATTTTAATTCTTTTTTTAATGGATTATGATTGATTTTTAATTTTTTATTAATTTAAATGATTATTTTATCATTTTTAATAATCATAAGATGTAACTAAGAAGATATAATATAGTCAAAGGATTTGTCTAGGTATTTACCCAAGATAATATAGTGCACGCTCCGCACCGTTTTGTATTTGTTGTTCTCATTTTCTTAAGTATAAAGGAAGTGCTACGGTACTATCCGTTTTACGCGTTTGAAATTTCAGAAAGATGGCCCAACGAAAGGCCTGGAAGGACCGTTTACTGAAATTACCATTTTGGTGTTTTTTCTATCTTAATATTCAAATGTGTTTCAAATTCAAGTAAAAAACATCCGTATGGTACGTAGAAACTCGACCTTTTTGTTCTCTTTTGTCTTTGTTCTGTTGTTTGCTCGGTTGGAACAATAATAAATAGAATAATTAGTTTTATATATTAAAATTCGTAAACGACAACTTGGTTTAAAGTCAAAAACCTCTTTTAGAAAAAATTCCTAATTTTTTCTACGCTCGTTTGTTGATCAGTTGCTAAAATTTAGTTGCTGACCATTAGTAATTTTTGTTGTATTTTTCTTTACTATATCATATCTTTATTTTTTTAATAAATTTATATGTATTGCACGTTTTTATGTGTTGCACGTTTTAATATGTCTTTATGACATATTTTCTTTTGTATTTTGGCATATTTTTTTTGTTCTTTGATAGTATTTTAATTTACCGTTTTTCTAAGAATTAATTTCACATTGCTATGATTAATCAAGACGACGCTTATTTGATATATTGTTAATCTTCCTGCTTTGGGCCCTCAGATTGGATTTAGATATCTAATTTGCATTTAAGATAGTTTTTCACGTTGTTCGAGATTGATTTGCGGTTTGTCGTTGACATCTAAATATTTTAATCCACTTTTATGGTTCGCGTGCTAATGCGATCAAATTTGTTTATATCTATCTTTGTTCGAGTTTCTTGATTAGATTTAATCTTTCTTTGTATGGTTCTTTTGTGATCTTAAGTTGGTAGTTTTGTTTAAATGGTTATAGGAAAATTTTCTAATTATATGTTTAATTTAAGAATTGTAAATCTTTATTATAATTTAGGATATTTCCTATTGTGAAGAAAATTAATTGCTTCTATAAAAATACATATTCACATTCGATTTTTTCCTTAAATTATTTAAGTATTAACATTTAAATCAAATTAAATACTATTAAATTTTAAATACCTTAAATTGTAAAAATATAAATTAAAATATTTACATTTCATAAAAACCTGATTTCAAATCAATTAAATTTACTCTCACTTGCTCTGTTGATTTATTTTGAAAAATTGTGGCCATATTGAAATATATGGTTTGGGTTCCTGTCTTCACCCTTGAAGATCGTTTTATGTCTTTCTTTCCATGTTCCCCAAATCATGGCTGAGAAAATTGTGCCCCACGATAAACCTTCAAAAGTTTTTCTCTCGGATATACTGTTCTTTTGTAACCATACTTCAAAATCATTCGCCTCTACCTGGCTTAGCTCAGTTGGTAGAGTACAAGGTTCTTAACCTTGAGGTCGTGGGATCGTGTCTCACGGAGGGCATTTCATAATTCGGAGGTCTCTTACGGAAGCTGCTCTCAACTTGGTGTTGGGGATAGCCTACTATCTTACCTCCCCCTTACCCGGAACAGTCATTTTTTTCTTTGTCGTTCTACAGTGCTTCAAAATATGTTTTATTGATTCAAGCCCACCTTGACAGACATGACAAGCTACTTTCATTGTTATTTTTTTCTTGTTGCGAATTTCATTTGTATTCAGTCTATTTAAAACACAAAGCCAAATGAAAGTTCAGATTCTCTGTTGTTTTCAACTTCCAAATCCACTTGTAGCTTCTACTTGTGACATCTTCTCTGGTACAATTTAAAACATCTTTGAAGGCCGACTTTACTGAGAAAGACCCATCTTTTGAGTGACCCCATATTGGTTCGTCCGAGATATTACTAGTATTGCCATCTAACTTGATTTCCCCACTCATCTTGTCTAACACATTTTGAGGAAGTAATTGATTCAGCTCCTGGAAATTTCATTCTTGTACAACACTTATGTAGTTCGCCACATTTCCCATTCTATGAATCGTATCAATCTCTGGGTAGAGGTCTTTGAGGGGTTTTTATCTATCCACCAATCATGCCAAAATTTCACTTTTCCCCTTAATTTATTTTTCATTTAGATATAGTTTAGTCGTTAAGGATTTGAACATAAACTGACTTTTCAACTTCTTCCAAATTTCATCTGAAGACGATAAATGCATGACGTGATACATGACCTCGTCTGCCAAATATAATCGTATGGTTCATGCCATTCACTGTTGTAATTCTTTCCAATCTTCCTCCTCTATCGACGCCAGCTTTGTAGAACACAAAACTTTCAGGATCCCTTATTATGCCAACAGATCTTTCACCCTTGTTTGCCTTAATTCGAAGTTACACTGACCATCGAATTTTGCAACTTCGAATTTTGCTCCTGACATCTAATACCAAGTGTTGAAGAATCGGTAAAGAAAACGAAAGAACATAAAAAATTTAATGAGGTTCAACAATGTGCTTACGTCCTCGGTGCCTAGGCGGCGCTAGAAGTTTTATTCAATGTCAATATCTCATAGGTTTAGGTTACATCTCTATTTATAATAAATAAACTATGATACATATTTACAAAAATAATCTTGTACCGTATCGCAGGGCCTACGCCCCGCATCCGCAACTCACATAATCGTAACCTCCACTACGAGACTTTCTCGATATATTTATAAGTCATATCTAACAGTGCTAAATTTATGTGTCTCGTTGTTCTTAAACCCAGTTCGCCGTATGTTTCTGCTGTGCAGACAATCTTCCAATTTACTAGGTGGTTGTCTTTACTTTGTCTCCCCACTCCATAAAAAGTTCTTGTTCAATTTATCCAATTTACTCCAAGTCGAGATCGGAAGAAGTGTTGATTGCTAGGGGTGTAAACGAGTCGAGTCGAGCTCGAGTATTGTTGAGCTCGACTCGACTCAAAAACTCTGAAATGGAGTTCGACTCGAAAACTCGCGAGCTTAAAATTTTCAAACTCGACTCGAACTCGAAATCCTGAACTGAAGCTCGTGAGTAGCTCGAAAAGGCTCGAAATAAAAAAAAATTCTTAAACTTAACTCAATTAAAACCTCAAACTCAAACTCGAACATAAACCTTAAATACATGAAATCTTACTGTATTTTTAAAAAAAAATCAATACATAAATATTAATATTATTATTAATTTATTTTTTTTTAAAATAAAATCTTAATATATTATATTTTCGAGCTCTTAACGAACTTTTCGAGTCGAATATCGAGTAGCTCGTTTCAGCTCGTTAAGAACTCGAGTCGAGCTCGAGCTCGAGTCAAGTCTATTCGATCCGAGTATTTATCGAGCTTTAATCGAGTCGATCTCGAATAGCTCGCGATCTGTCTCGTCTCATTTATAGCCATATTGATTGCATTGTATGTACGGGTATTGCAGTAGTAATGGCTTGGATCATCATTCTTCTTCCAGCTAAAGATAAATTTTTTCCTTTCCAACCATCTAATTTCTTCATTACTCGTTCTATCAGATGGTTATAAGTGTTGGAGTTAATCTTCTTATGTATAATCAGGACTCCCAAGTAAGTTCCTAAATCTATCGTTCGAGGAATTTCTTCCAAAGAGGCAAGATATTTTGTCGTCTCTTCTGGAATATTTGGGGAAATAAAGATTCTCAATTTTTGAAGGTTTATTTTCAGACCTAAAGCATCGATGAATATCTTCTTATTAACGTCATAGCTCTGATAAAGGGGAAAATATCAATGGTCGTGGTGTTATGAAGAATTATATATAGACGTTCCTGAAGGGTAATAGTCCCATGATGACTTCTAACCCACATATATTTCTTTCCAGTCCAACTAGCGTCATTTAAGTTGCAATTATCCTATCTTTCTCTAAATTTGATGATGTGTTCTAAACGGTCATAATCGTTTTCCTCACGTTCTTCCAAAGAGACAATATCGTTGAAATCTCCCATTATAATCTAAGGTTGGTTTAGAGATTTTAATAGTTGAAAAAGTCTTCCCAAAATTCCTCTTTTTTTCTCTGGTGTAGTTGAACATAAGCAAAGCTCATACACCAATGTTTTCCTCTCTCATTGAAAATACAATGGATAACTTGATCAGTATTGTACTTGATTTCTATATCTAAATCTTTCGAATGCCAAAGGATAATTAGGCCACCTCGAAACCCATCAGCAGGATTTTCAAATAATTCGTCAAACTTCAATTTTTTTTCCTGTAATTTCTGACCATTACTAGACTCGGCTTTAGTTTCAAGAAGGCATAAAACTGAGGTGTTTTCGTTTTTAGTCAAATCTAAGCAATTCCTCATGAAAATTTTGTTTCCAATTCCTCTACAATTACACAAAATAATCTTCATTGTAACGAACTGTCTATATGTAAAACTCCTAGTGAAACAGGAGCTGTTCTATTCGTTTCTTCTATATTTTGAGTAAACTTCTCTAAACTATGGCAGATCTATTCCGATTCTTCGATTGTTTAAAATTCTGATTCTTGGCCTTGAATGTCCACTCCATCAATCTCTGCAACTTCATTTTTATCAAAATACTTTGACGAACCCACTTTGATGGAGTTAGGGG